GCTTCAAACAGACAAGGGTTCTCTCTCCCACCCTGGATGCTATTTCACAGAGATATATACATTTCACTTGCTTTACTACCTCTATGCAGATACAGTCACTGGTTGATTTTGAAGCTTCAAGGCTACTCAAAGCTATCCAAGTTTGCTCACTGCAACATCCACACTTGCTTCAAACAGACAAGGATTCTTCCTCCCACCCTGGAAATTATTCTACAGGTATATACACTCCACTTGCTTCACTATTTCTAAGCAGTGGCACAGTGGGTTAAAGTGCTGAGCTGCTGAGCTTGTTGACCGAAAGGTCGCAGGTTCGATTCCGGGGAGCGGTGTGAGCTTCCACTCTCAGCCCTAGCTTCTGCCAACCTAGCAGTTCAAAAACATGCAAATGTGAGTAGATCTCTAGGTACCACTCCGGCGGGAAGGTAACGGTGCTCCATGCCTGCCATAGCATTGCATTTAATTCCTGGGCCCCCTAGAATTTTTGGGCTTGCACAAATCTTGGCCCGGTCTTTTAATTTTTTAAAAAATTGCCTTGAACAGGCAGGATTACTTTTAATATATGTGTGTTATGGCGACAATTTTTATGCATATTTTGTTTTGTTAATCTTATGGTTATGTTGTTTTTACTTTGTATGTTCTGTGATTTTTACCTGGGAACTGCTCTGAGTCCCCTCGGGGAGATAGAGTTGTATATAAATAAAGTATTATTATTATTATTATATTTTTAATCTGTTTGATTGATATGCGTTTTAATTGCTTATATGTTGAGATTATTTTATATTTTGATGATATGTGTTTTATTGTTTATTTGTGCGACATTGAATTTTTGCCAGATTTGTAAACTGCCTCGAGTCCCCTTCGGGGTCGAAAACGGCGGAGTAGAAATGAAGTAAAAATAAATAAACAATCAAGTTTGCTAATTGCAACATTCGCATTTCCTTTAAACAGACAAGGGTTCTTTCTCCCACCCCGGACATTATTCCAAAGGGGGATATATACACACACATACATAAACACGCACACACTCCACTTGCTTCACTAGCAACAGATCCTTACATGATGCCAGCCATATATGCAGGTGAAACATCAGAAGAGAATAATGCTGGAACATGGCCATATAGCCCAAAAAACTCAAAGCAACCCAGTGATTCCAGCCATGAAAGCCTTCAACAACACAAGTTCCAGGTTTCTTCCCATGTTTTGAGTCCTTCCAAGTTCCCATCCTTTTGATGATCTATCATCACAAGAGATCCCACATTGGCTCTGGAAAAAACACTGTCGTTCCAAGAAGACAAGGGACCAAACCTTTATCTGAACCGTAAGGTTTATCTTAGGGGGAAAGATGTACAATGGAAGGCTGCGGCTTCAAGCTGGGAAAGAGCTCTTGCTGGTCAGTGAAAATAATCATTATTTGAGGCTTTCACAGTATTTACATTTTGAGCCAAAGCTGCTCCTTGACTCCACAACGATTCTCAAAGATAGACCAAATTGTGAGAGACAGACATAAAACTGCACAGCTTAGTCGGACTAGCAATGTGATCCCCATGAAGAGTCTTGTCTCATCGCCAAGAACTACTTTTCACATAAACAGCGTTTCCAAAGGACGCAGAGTCCCCGCTTTTATGCAAACCTTGGCCACACTATTCCTTCAAGGTAGGCCAGCATTCCTGCATACCCATTGCATAGACTTACAGCCACCTTCATCTAAGAGTGTTCACGTCCAATGTCTGATCGCAGCAAGTACAGGCCAACTGAGGTCACCCAAACTCAAGGCTTTTCTGGTCAGCATTTAAACAATCCGCCTTTGGGAAGAGCTAGATAAGGATAGTAGGGTAGGGAAAATGCATTATTATTATTTAAATTCACAAAAGTACAACTTCAGAGCCAACGTCATTCTCTTACCACATTTGCCCCTAAAGAGTCTTTGCTCGATCTTTTACCAGATCCTAAAAACATTTGGCCTTTTGAAAACTTCTACAGCCTCAAATCCCAAACAAATAAAGACAATCATAAAGCAAATGCGGCAACTGGAGACATTCCGAATGGATCGCCAACAGCTATAATCTATACACATAATAAAAGTGAAAATATGTGTTTGTATATGACTAGAGTGTCCAGCTTACACAGACGGGCTCCTGCTTCCACAAATAATATAGCTTCCACTACGCAGGAAACACCAATGGCCCTCCCTCCAATGACATTGCAGGTTATCGTGAGTGCCATGAACATATCCAAGAGCCCCACCAATGTCCTCTACAAACCCAAGTGAAGGCTTTCACATTGAGACAATGTCATCTTAGATTTTATGTGTTTCCTCCACCACAGACATCCCAGTGTTTCTGACTCTCTCCATTGGTGTGGAAATTGTATGATCCCACCCACTGCCTCTCCCTTAACCCATTCCTACATTTTTCTATGGTATATAACAAGCAAAGCAGAATTGATCAGCAACTGAACATACTGGAAGGGTTTGGGGGACTGACTCAAAATGATGGGAAGGTGCAGTTCACCCTGCATCAAGACAGAGCACTGTGACCCCCACAGCAATGGACCTGGACCATATTTGGCACACAAAACCCCTATGATCAACAAAACATACAGGAAGGCTTTGGGGGAAATTCATTTTGATGTATAGGAATTATAGTTTACCTACATCGGGAGAACACTGTGAACACAAACAACGATGGATCTGCACCAATTTTGGCACACATACCCAATATGCCAAAATTTGAATACTGGTGGGTTTGGAGTGGAATTGGCCTTGACATTTGTTACTTGTAGGTACGGCATTTAAAGTTCACCTATAATCAAAGAGCACCCTGAACCCCACCAAAGATGGACCTGGACTACATGACCAACATAAAATACTAGAGGGCTTTGGGGGGAATTCACCTAGATGTAGGGGAATTGTAGTTCACCTACATTCAGAGGGGACCGTGAACTCAAATAATGATGCACACATGCCTGATAAGTGCAAATTTGATTACTGGAGGGGTTTGGTGGGAACTGAACTTCCTTTCTGGGAGTTTGGAGCTCACTGACATCCAGAGACACTGTGACCATCATTGATGATGGATCTGGACCAAACTTGTCACACAGAACCCCGATGATCAACTGAACATACCAGAGGGAATTGAGGAGGACTGACCCACCATGGTGGGAGAGCTGTACTTCATCCTGCAGCCAGAGAGCACAATGAACCCCATCAATGAAGCATCTAGAGCAAACTTGCCCAACATGACAAATTTTAATTATTGATGGAGTTTATCGGGGTTAACCTGGCATGATGTGAGTTGGACTTAATCCACAACCTCATGCATTTTGTAAAATAAAACAAATGACTTTTTCAAATAACCCGGGCAACACCAGGTACCCAAAAGACAATATGCAGACAGCGCTACTAAAGTTGACTATTCCTTATCCAAAATGCTTGGATATTGCATCATAAGAGATGGGACCAAGATTTAAATATAAAATTCACTTATGCTTTGTATGAACCTGATACACAAAGACCAAACGTCATTTCCTACACAATATTTTAAATCGCTTTGTGCATGAAATAAAATCGATTTACACTGATGCATCAGAAAGCAAAAGGGTCAATCTTTAGTTTTAACTCTGTGTTTGAATGGTTTTTAACTGTGAATTTTTAAGTATGTTTATATCTAATCATGTTTATATTTGTATATTTTAAATTGTGTACTCATGCTTTTATGTCAAGCCACTTTGAGTCCCCTTTGGGAGAGATAAAGCAAAGTATAAAGAATAATAATAGTAATAATAATAATAAAGTAATAAATACATAGTCGCTTTGAGTCCCCTTTGGGAGAGATAAAGTGGGGTATAAATAAATATAAGAAATATAATAACAATATAATTAAAATTGTATGCTGATCCTTTTATGTTACGCTGCTTTGAATCCCCTTCAGGAAATCTAAAGCAGGGTAGTAGTAGTAGTAATAATAATAATAATAACAGGTTCCTAAAGAGGACGATGATGATGATGGTTATTATCATTATTATATTATAAAGAGGATGACAATATTAATAGTTATAGTAATTTCTCCCTTGTTAGGCCAACTCTGCTGGCTGCCAGTCTGCTACTGAGCACAATTCAAAGTGCTGGCTTTAAACAATAAAGCCCAAACAGTTCCAGCCCAGCTTATTTGGCCGAACATATCTCCTTCTATGATCCACCTCGAAGATTAAGATCTTCTGGAGAGGCCCTGCTCTCAATTCCACCTCCCTCGAAAGCACAACTGGTGGGGCCAGGAGACAGGGCCTTCTCAGTGGTGGCCTCTCAGCTGTGGAACTCCCTCCCTAGTGAAATTAGAGCAGCCCCCTCCCTACTTATATTTAGGAAGCAAGTAAAATGTGGTTATGTGACCAAGCTTTCAGACAGCAAAGCTCATAGTACAATAAGATAATAAGGAATCGTGTACAGACCAATGGAATGACTATGGACTTGATTTTGAATGGCGTGATTTTAATAACTGTTTTTAAATCGTGCTGTTTATCGGTGGGTTTTAAAATAAATGTTATTGTATTATTGATGTTTAATTTATGTTTATGTTTTCATTTGGTTAGGTTTATAGTTATCTGTTATTGTCTTGCTATTATCTTTTGCTTTTCACATGTATGTACGGCATTGAATATTGCCTTTATAATGTTGGAAACCGCTTTGAGTTCCCTCAAGGGGAGAAAAACGGTGTATAAATATCGCAAATAAATAAATAAATAAATATAATTTGGCTCCTAAAGAGGACAATGCTAATATTAGTACTAATTTATTATTACTTGGCTCCTAAAGAGGATAAATAGTAATTTTCATTACTATCCGGCTCCTAAAGAGGACAATGATAATACTAATAGCCAGTTATTATTATTATTATTATTATTATTGGGCTCATTTCCTACTTCTTTCCTCCATTCCATAAGCTTTCTGCTCCGCTTTCCTGCTAATTTTCCACTTTCCCCTATTATTCTTTATTATAGGATACCTTCTATTGTTATTCGATGAAATGGTGGGCTTCACTTTCGGAGAGGAAGCAGACTGTAGAGAGGAAACTGTCCTGGTTTGGCTGCTTCCGAGTATAGGCTTTCACTCCCATGGAAGGCCCATTCACAATCCCGGCTCCAAAGGGCCTCGAGGGTCTCCAGCCGGCTTCGGCTGTCGTTGACAGGACCCCATGGCATGGCTGAGAGTCCAGGCAAGGCCTGCCTGGGCCCCGCGCGGGCCTTGCACTAGGCCTCGCATCCCCGGCCTTTCCTAAACGGCCGCGCCCGGGGACCCCACCTCTCCCCCGGGGGAAGCCCCGCTCGCACCCTCCTCAACAGCCTCGCCTGCCCTTCTCTGACTCCTCCTGCCCCCTCTAAGCACAGCCATTGGCCTACGGAGGCACGCCGGCTCGCCATTGGCCCGCGCCGGCGCCCGTCAGCGACACCTCCCCGCCGCGGTGCACCTCGGGAGAGGTAGTCCCGCCTCCACTGCACCTGCAGGCCAAGCCGCACCGCGGGGACTACAACTCCCAGAAATGCCTTCTCTTTTTTCCCCCCACCCTTGATAACACACAGCCAGGACAACGTAGGCACGCAGCAAGGAGGCAGCAGCCTCTTAGGCCCCTTCCCCAACAAGGAGAATAATAATATAACTCAATAATAATGATGATAATAATAATAATAATAATAATGATGAAATATAAAAAGGACCCTTGACATCCATGTATCTCAGGCTCCTGTCAATAGGAATGTCAAGCCTCCCAAGGCATGGGACTCGATGCCAGTAAAATAAATCAATATAATAATAATAATAATAATAATAATAATAATAATAATAATAAAAATAAAACCTAAAATAAATTGAAACAATAATAATAAATATAGTAATAATATATTATAGCAAAATAAAACCTAAAAATATAATAATAATATAACTAAAATAAAACAAAATAATAAATATAATAATATAATATAATTAAATTAACTAAAATTAAACCTAAACATAAAAATAATAAAATAAAACAAATTAATAAAATAAAACCCATAGAATAATATGATATAATAAAATATAACTAAAATAAAATAAAGAATAAAATCTAAAAATATAATCTGAAAATAAAACCTAAAGATATAATCATATACTGAAAATATAACAAAATTAATAGTAATACAACGAACTTTAAAAATAATATAAAATCTAAGAACAAGAATTATAAAATATAATAAAACATAATTTAATAAAAATAAAACAAAATTAATAAGAATAGAATACATTATAAATAAAATAGTAAAAGTAAAACAAAATCAATAATATAAAACACTAAAATAAAATAAAATATATAATAAATAATAAATAAAAGATAAAAGATAAAAATATAATGTAAATAAAAGGTAACTATTAATAAAATAATAAAAACAACAAGATCAATCGCCCGCCCACCTCCTTTCACCCCCTTCCACCTTAAAGAGGCAGCAAGCCCATTGGGAGACTCAGTCCTCCCAAGAACCTAGATCTAACAATAATAATAATATTAAATGTATTAAATAGAATAAAAACACCAAGATCCACCTCCTTTCACCTTCACCAATTCCTTCCTCCTTAAAGGAGAAGCAGCAAAGCCTACACATTGGGAGACTCAGTCCTCTTTAAGACCCATCACTAATAATAATGATGATGATGGTGATAATAATAATAATAATAATAATAAGGCAAAGTTAGGAAGCTGCCCATGTCCTGGACTGAAGCTAAAGAAGAGATCACATCCTGGCGGAAAGAGAGCAAGAAAAAGGAAGAGGAAGGAAATTGAAAGGTTCTTACCTGGTTGGTTTCGGGAGGGGGGGTAGGAAGGGAAAAAGGGGGGGCTGGAGTTTGGGGAGTCAGTTCTTCTTCCTCTTCCTCTTCTTCCTCCTCTTCCCTCCTTCCTCCTTTCCTTCCTTCCTACTGTAACAGTAGATGCAAAGCCCCGTATGCTGCTTGCTGTGAACTCCCCTTCCTGGTTCCAACTCTCGGGGTAAGGAAAGAGGGAGGGGACAAAAAAGGGGAGGGGGCCCCCTTCGCTCTCCCTCTCCCTCCCTCCTCTTAAAGGGCCAGGCGCCCCAAAGCCACCCACAGCCCAAGCCAACCCAAAGGCATCGCTTGGATCCCCTTTCTTCGCTGGCGAAGCATATAATAGACTGATCTCTTTGGGCTGGGAAAAGGGGCGCTAGGCAGCAGCCAATGGGAAGGGGGCTTTGTAGAAAAAGAAGTAGTAGTGTTCTAAAAGGGGTCAAAGAGCATTCAAGGCCAGACTCAGCCCCCTCCTGCTGGGTTTTATGGGATGCCACGTTGGAGCCAAGCAGAGGGTCTTGTTATCTAACTCCAGGCAGGACTAATAATAATAGAGCAGGTAAAGGAAGGGCTGATGGAGAAAGTGGGCACCAATCATCACCACCATCCTAGTGATCTGGCAGGTAAAGGAAGGGCACACACATTAGTAATAATAATAACAACAACAATAATAATGTGGCAGGTAAAGAGAGGGCACACATAATATTAGTAGTAGTAGTAATAATAATAATAATAATAACAATAATAATAATAATAATAATAATAATGGGTTGTGTTAGTTTTCTGAGCTGTCTGGCCATGTTCCAGAAGCATTCTCTCCTGATGTTTCGCCCACATCTATGGCAGGCATCCTCAGAGGTTGTGAGGTCTGTTGGAAACTAGGCAAGTGGGGTTTATATGCCTGTAGAATAATGTCCAGGGTGGGAGAAAGACCTGTCTGTTGGTGGCAAGTGCGAATATTGTCATTGGGCAGCTTGATCAGCATTGAGTGGCTTTACAGCTTCAAAGTCTGGCTGCTTCCTGCCTGGGGGAATCCTTTGTTAAGAAGTGTTAGCTGGCCCTGATTGAGTCCTGTCTGGAAAATCCCGGTTTTTGAGTGTTGCTCTTTATTTACTATCCTGATTTTAGAGTTTTTCAATACTGGTAGCCAGATTGTGTTCGTTTTGATGGTTTCCTCCTTTCTGTTGAAATTGTCCACATGATTCTTGTAGATTTCAATGGCTTCTCTGTGTAGTCTCACATGGTGGTTCTCCAAGTGGTCCAGCATTTCCGCATTCTCAAATAAAACAAGGGAATTCCAGACAGAAAACAATCAGGGCCAGTTTACTTTGCTTACTTAGGTGGTCCCTCCTCCTCCCGACAAAGGTTTCTCTTAGGAAGCAGTCAGACTTTTAAGCTGCAAGGCCATTAAATGCAATTCAAAGTAGCCAATTGCAACATTCCCACTTGCCTCAAGCAGAAAAGAGTCCATCCTCCCACTCTGGATTCCACAGACATATAAACCCCACTTGCCTGGTTTCCAACAGACTTCACAACCTCTGAAGATGCCTGCCATAGATGTGGGTGAAATGTCAGGAGAGAATGCATCTGGAACATGGCCAGACAGCCTGGAAAACTCACAGCAACCCAATAATAATAATAATAATAATAATAATAATAATAATAATAATAATAATAATAATAGAACAGGTAAAGGAAGGGTTTATGGAGAAAGTGGACACATAATAATAATAATCATCATCATCATCATAGTGTTTATGGTGAAAGCTGCAATGCTAATAATAGGGCAGGCAAGAGGAAGGTTTATGGAGCAAGTGGGCACACACAATAATAATAATAATAATAATAATAATAATAATAATAATAATAATAATAATAATAATAATATAGGGCAGGTAAAGGGAGGGTTTATGGAGAACGTAAACAATAATAATAAAAATACTGTAATAATGGAAGAGTATATGGAGAAGGTGGGTACACATAAATTCTTCTTTCTTCTTATTATTATTATTAATTTATGGGGAAAGTGGACACACATGTTTTTAAGGCAAGTGAGCACTAGTCCGGCCCCATTCTGCCACGAAGGCAGACTCAACTGAAAGCATTCCTAAGAGATGGTCATCCAACCTCACTGCTATTTTGATGTATTGCTCATTACAAATGGCTTTTGGGTACCATACTGTATCAACTCTTGTGCAAAGGCTTCTATAAGCCTTCCATTGCCAGAAAAACCAGTTGGACATGTTGAAATGCAGAACCAGAATACCTTTCCCAAGACCGGCATCCTTCCCAATAACACCAGATGGGGGAAAGATGGCTTTGCAAGCCCATTTCACCTTCCAAGACGAATCCAGTCACGGATGTGCAACCAGAGCGAGGAATCCTGGAAATCATTCCCGACGATTGTATTTTAATACGTGTATTTTGCAGAGAGGTTTTCCTATATACATTTTATTGAATGTTTCAATAATGGATTTGATTTGCACCCCCTTGCAAGCCGTGCAACAAATTATATCATTATTATATTTTTGTTTTTCTTATTATAATTTCAATCCCACAAGTTATTTGTGGACTATGTATTTTATAGAAATGTGTTTTCAAATATGTATTTCAAACTGTATTATTATTATTATTATTATTATTATTATTTCAATTCCACAAGCTATTCTTAGAACTATGTATTTCATACTGTACAAAATGCATAAGGTTGTGGGCAAACTACAACTGACATGCCAGGTTAACCCCCTGAAACTCCATCAGTACTTAAAAGTTTGTTATGTTGGGCAAACTTGCTCTAGATGCCTCATTGGTGGGGTTCAGTGTGCTCTCTGGTTGTAGGGTAAACTACAACTCCCACTATGATGAGTCAGTCCCCTCAAACCCTTCCAATAGGGTCAAGTTAGCCATGAGGGTCAGTCATGAGGGTCCAGGTCCATCACTGGTGGAGATCAGTTTTCCTGGCTGTGGCGAACTACAACTCCCAGAAATGTAGGTCAGTTCCCCCCAACCTCCCCCCCCCCCCGGCAAGTAATCAAATTTTGCCATATCAGGTATGTGTGCCAAATTTGGTCCAGATCCATCAGTGTTTGGGTTCACTGTGCTCTCTGGGTGAATTTTCCCCAAAGACCTCCAGTATTTTTTGCTAGTCATGGGGGCTGTGTGCCAAGTATGCTCCAATTCCATTTCCATCTTACAACATTCCTACAACTCCCATAAATAATTGTGAATTCTCCCCAAACCTCTCTAGTATATTCAGTTGCCAATCAATTTCTCTGTTTGCTGTGTGTCAAAGAAAAGAATCGGAAAGGGTTAAGGGAGAGGCAGGGGCGGGCTCATGAAAATTCCACACCAATGGAGAGAGTCAGAAACACTGGGATGTCTGTGGTGGAGGAAACACATGAAATCTAGGATGAAACTGTCCCTGTATGAAAGCATTCACTTGGGCAGTGAGCAGTATGGCATTTGTGGAGGGCATTGGACATGTTCATGGCACTCCTTATAACCTGCCATGCCACTGGAGGGAGGGCCTTTGGTGTCTCCTGAGCAGGGGGAGCTAGAGCTGTTTGTGGAGCCAGGAGCTTGTCTGTGTAAGTGGACAGCCCAACCACACACACATATACATATTTTCACTTTTATAGTAATTATATTTGGTCATCATATATATTATTAAAATGATTATAAATATTATCAGATTTAATATTATAATTGTATTATATATAATCATATATTTATATTGTTACTAGCTGTCCCCTGCCACGCGCTGCTGTGGCCCAGTTTGTGGATCTGGAAAATAAAGTAACGAGAAAGTGTTGGTTTCTAATATACGTAATTTCTTTATGCTTGTGGGTAAACAATATTTCTTGCTGTTTGTCAGTGTTGATGTGGAGAGTGTCTGGTTTGCCCCATGATACTATATCTCTCTGTGTGTGAATCATATCTATCTATCTATCTACCTATCCATCCATCCATATCTATGGCTGGATGGCTCTTTGTCAGGACTTTGATTACGTCTTCTTGCCCTGATGAAGGGAGCTGGGTTGGATGGCCTTAAGTATTTTCTGTTGGTCATGGGGATTCTGTGTGGGAAGTCTGCCCCGATTCTGTCGTTCGTGGGGTTCAGAATGCTCTTTGAATGTAGGTGAACTGTGAATCCCAGTGACTACAACTCCCAAATGTCAAGGTTTATTTCCCCCAAACTCCATCTGTATTCATATTTGGGCATATTGAGTGCTTTTGCCAAGTTTGGTCCAGATCCATCATTGTTTGAGTCCACAGTGCTCTCTGGATGTAGGTGAACTACAACTCCCAAATTCAAGGTCAATGCCCACCAAACACTTCCAATATTTTCTGTTGGTCATGGGAGTTCTGTGTGCCAAGTTTGGTTCAATTCTATTGTTGATGGAGTTCAGAATGCTCTCTGATTACTCCCAAATAACAAAATCATAATTTTTTGAGTGATGGTCACTCCTTGTGTTGTGAGACGTTTTGTTGCCAAATTTGGTGTGATTTCGTTCATTGGTTCTTTTGTTTGTAAGGTACTCATTATGCACAGGGCATTTATATATATATAGATTGTTATTATACTCTATGCACTTCTATGGGATTTGGAATCGGCCTTGCAAAACGAAAAAGAATCCTAGAGAAGGAAACACAGGTTTCTCTTAATGTAAAGTGCCATTTATTTTATCTCCCCGTGATGAAAATATTGAGTTTCTTAAAATAAAATTAAAAAAGGAAAAAATAAATTGCACTGTCAAAATACTCAAGACATTCTCCTGAAAACACTCCCCAAAATAATAACCGAAGCTGAAAGAAAGAGCACACAGATCCAAAAGAGAGAAAGGACCCCTCTTAACAGTAGAACATCATACTAAATATTATTTTTTCCTTTTCAAAATTTAAATAGAGGCAAAGAAAACATACTTTCTTCCCCCGACCTCCCAACCCCAGCACATACATACACACCTGCAAAAGCCTCATTGTCCAAAGGGGGAAAAAAAAGGAGTACACAGAAGCACATTGGGGTCAGGCAATCTCTATGGAATTGTGGACAACTTACATATATATATTTGCTGTTATTGTTAAAAAGCCTTCGGAAATACACCAGATATCATGTTTTATACATTCAGATTGCAAAGAGTTTGCTTGCTCCCCATTCGGGGTTATGACGGTTGGGAAGTGGGGAGGAAACTATTGGAAAGGAAGGGAGATGTGGGAAAACCAGAGTTTGCAACAGATAACGGGGCCCAAACACGTGTTCTCTTGATGCAAAAAGGCGTGAAAACCCATCGTCCTTTTCTCCTCCGTAAAGAAAACCTCCAAGTCGTTGGAAGGACAAAAAGGGAGAATGGACCCAAAACAACTCAGCGAAGGGAGTCCGAAATGCATCCGTCAAATAAGTTAAAGGGCATTTTAAGATAAAGACCATTCCATTGAGGGTTTAATCTGAAAGCTTAAGCCATTGTGAGATATATATACCCCAATTGAAGGGATTTGAACCCCAGTCAACAGCATTTAACGGGCGGACGGAAGGCAATGGTACAAGGGAGCGGTGAAATTCGGCCAAAGACGTACCATAGTGACGCCTTTGACTGCAAAGGGATGGCAAGGCAAAGCCAGCCCTAAGATCCAACCATCCTTTAATTATTCTTGGGTTTTAATGGATAGTATTAGCTCTCACTTTCGGGTCAGACTTAGTCAAACACAAACCTTATGGCAAAGCAAAGCCAGGCCTAAGACCCAGCCATTCCTTACTTTATTCTTCTTTCTTTTTAAATATTACTTGGGTCAAACTTGAAGGCCATAGGGTCCTTTCAAGTCAATCACTCAGAGGGCACCGCAGAGCTAGGCCTACGGTGCTCGACACAATCGTCTTTTGCTTTATTCTTGTCTCAAGTCATCGAATCACTCAAAAACCAGCTAAGGGAAGGAAATCATCGGCAAAAAGGGAATTGAGCGGTTGGATGGTTGTGGGGAAGACAGTGGCATATTTAGGGGGACCTGAGGGAAATCCCAGAGCTGGACAACAGCTCCAGAAAAGGTCCTCCTTCAGCTTGAAAGAGGGGCTCGTCCTTTGCCACAGAGAGCATTGGGTGCAGAGGCAAAGCATCGTGACGCCTCTTGGGACAAAGGGAAGAGCTTAACAAGAAGGGAAGGAAGGAAGGAAAGCCCGGTTTCCGAAGCTGTGGGATCATTAGATCATGGCCCAGCGTGGTCATGGCTGCCACGGCTACTTACTGGCAACCATATCCCTTTTGCAGAAGAACCAAGTGGAGATGCCGCTGAAGGAGCTGTTCTGGGAAGCAGCCCGCTCGTGCCCCTTCTCTCAAGTCTGGGAGAGAGGGGCATGCGGGGTTTTCGAAGTCATAGTGCTCTGCAGAGCAAAGGGAAACCCCTTGCAAAAGCAGGAGGAGAATTGAGGACCAAGGTCCAACTCTGTGTGTTAAGTGCATAGACAGTGGCCTTGTCGTTTTGGGAGACTTTGATGGGAATGGGAAACAGGGAGCGAGATTCGAGGAGAGCAGGAAGGGAGTTTATGGCTGCCTTCCTCAACCTCGCAGCTCGCTCTCTTCCCCCGATCCTGACGGGTTTGTTGGAAGTGTATGGGCCCTGACCACACCTGCTGCGACCCCTAGATAAGGCCTCGCTCTGCTACAAGCCGTTCTGTAAGTGCATCAAGGAAAAAGGAAGCAAGGAAGGAAGGAAGATGTGCTCCTTTGGTGAGAAGTCAGCCCTTTCTTTTCCTCTCCCGCCCTACTCAGGAGAAAAGGAAACGGAACGAAACAGGAACATCACAAAGAGAAAGAGAGAAGTAAAAGCTGGCGTCTTGCTGTAGGATGACAGGGTGATTTCCCCGCAAAAGGCGCTGTGCCTTTTTTGGAGCGAAGGGAGGAAGGGGAGAATAGAGGAAGGGCAGGACAAGCACAGTGGTAACCGAGAAAGGAAGGAAAGAGGGACGGAAGGAAGGAAGGAAGGGCCGCCAATGGCAGCAGGCAAGCAGGTGCACAAAGAAAGAAGAAAGTGTGTCTGTGTCTGTGGGGGATACAAGAAGAAGAAGAAGAAGTAGAAGGCAGTTTGCGCTTGGCGTTCACATGGCGGTGCGGGTGGGAGTGCTGGGCTGGTTCAGGCGCAGCGTCTTGCAGAGCCAGCCCGCGAAGTCCACCTCTTCCACCTCCGAGCGTTTGATAAAGGCATGGTTCTGGACAGAGGGGAAAGAACAAGAGAGGGGGAGAAAGAGTGCGGTCAGTCGGGGAAACATCTCCAAAGTGCGGATGGGGACGAAGCATTGGGAGGCAAGCGAGAAACAGGAACAGCGGGTCTGCCAACTCTTAGCTACAGCTTCCTTTCAATGACCATGAGTGACTCCTGGTCAAAGGTGTCAACCTCAAGGCTTGTGGGCCGAATCCAGCCCTGTGTCATTCTAGGGGGCCTTCCTCCAGACACCAGACTCCCAACTCCTGTCTTTCTCATCCTTAGACATTGCAACTCGAGCTGATGAGAGTTGGGAGTCACAATTGTGTTAGTGCTGGTGTGTTGCAACTCCCATTACCTCAGGTAATCAGAAGTGAGGGGAGTTGCCATTCAATTACATTTGGGGACCTAAATTGGGTAAAAACTCAAAACCATGGACCATTATGTCAAAATATTAGTTGGTCCTCTGTCTCCACAGATGGCATGGATCCAACGGCCCTTTGAAGGCAGCCATAACAAGGTCATTTTGGCCCTCAATGGAACGAGTCTGATATCCCTATTCTAGATGCTAGTTTTTTATTTAGTTCTCTAAGCCGGAAACTCACATTGACCAAATCGGAACAGATTGGTTCTGCCAGCACAGATCGGCACAGAAGGGCATCTGTTTGAATAATCTATCCAAACGACAGAGCTCTTGTGGCAAATAGGCAGGGGCCTCGCCACACACAAGAGACCCGCGGAGGCAAAGCAGACAAAAATACACTTAGGGATGGAAGAGCAAGGCTCCTTGAGCTCAGCAGCATGCAGCCAAAGCCCAAAGCAAAACCCTTCCACTGAAAACTCAACGCTCGGTTTCTTGCTCCAATTTGCAAACCATCCCTGAAAATAAGCCTTAGTCTGATGCTAACAAACGTAAGCTCTACCCCACAAAAGAAGCCCAAGACAAGCATCAGTCTCATGGATGCCCCTTCTTTGGAGGCTTTGAAATAGAGACTGGATGGACATCTGTTGAGAGAGCTTTGATGGTGTCTTCCTTTATGGCAGAATGGGGGTGAACCGGAGAGCCTTTGGGGATCCCTTCCAACTAGGACTCTACCATATATCTGTATCTACATAGCCATCTTGAGTCTCCTTCGGGAGAGATAAAATAGGTTATAAAACAGGCTGGGCTTTAGCCCAGCAGGTTAACCAACCGAAAGATTGACAGTTCGAAGCCCGGATCACGGTGAGCTCCTGACCTTTAGACCAGCTTCTGCTTACCTACCAGTTCAAAAACAAATGTGAGTAGATGAATAGGTACCGTGTTAAAGCGGGGAGGTATTCAGGCATGGCATATCGATCAGAAAAAGGAGGAATTTTACGAACAAAGAAACCTCTTCGGCAGGGAGATGGAGTGACAGCAGCCACCCCCCCCCTCGGTGGCCAGAACCGAGCACCACCTCCAAGATGCTGAATGATGGGAAAGCCTATATATACCTCTATCTGTTATCTGTCTTCTCATTGTATAATCAGCATTGAATGTTTGCCATGTATGTGTTCTGTGATCCGCCCTGAGTCCCCTTCGGTTTTTTTTTTTTTTTGTCGTGTCAGGAGCGACTTGAGAAATTGCAAGTCGCTTCTGGTGTGAGAGAATTGGCCGTCTGCAAGGACGTTGCCCAGGGGACGCCTGGATGAATTGATGTTTTTATCATCCTTGTGGGAGGCTTCTCTTATGTCCCCCCATGAGGAGCTGGAGCTGATAGAGGGAGCTCATCCGCCTCTCCCCGGATTTGAACCTGTGACCTGTCGGTCTTCAGTCCTGCCGGCACAGGGGTTTAACCCACTGTGCCACCGGGGGATCTTCCCTTCGGGGTGAGAAGGGCGGAATATAAGTACTGTAAGTAAGTAAGTAAATAAATATCTATGTCTATCTCGGGGAGATGAACTAGAGGGCCTTGGGGGGGGGGGTCCCCTCCAACTAGGATTCTGTATCTTCGATTTATATCTATATAGCCACTTTGAGTCTCCTTTGGGAGAGATAAAGCGGGGTATAAATGATAATAATAATAAATTAATAATTAAAATTAATAATATCTATATAGCCACTTTGAGTTTCCTTCAGGAGAGATAAAGTGGGGTATTAATAATAATAAAATATCTATGTCTATCTCAGAGAAATGGACTGGAGGGCTGGTGGGGTCCCCCCAACTAGGATTCTATGATTCTATCATCTATCTACCTCTATACAGCCGCTTCAAGGCTCCTTTGGGACAGATAAATATATAAATATTTATAAATAAATAAGAGATAAATAAATATATAAATATTTATAAATATTACACACACACACACACATACACACACAAACTAGAGATAAATATATAAATATAAATGAAAATAACAATAACATTAATATGTCTATCTAAAGGAGATGGACTGGAGGGCCTTTTGGGGGTCCCTTCCAACTAGGATTCTATGACTCTATCATCTATCTCTATACAACTGCTCTATACAACTGCTTTGAGTCTTCTTCAGGAGAGATAAAGCAGGGTAGAAATACATAAATAAATATAATAATAATACTAATATCTATATCTATTTCAAGGAAGGCCTTGGAATCCAGCGCGAGGATTCTACAGCCCTATTTCTCCATGAATCTGCCAATGTCTACGGGGCTGGATGGCCATCTGTCAGGGGTGCTTTGATGGTGCCTTTCCTGCAAGTAAATCATGGCAGGAAGGACGAATAACCAATCGAAGGCACAATTCTGTGACAGATTGGCTGCCAAGCGGAGCACCGTCTTCACATCATTGGTTTGTTTTGACAGCCCGGATTTGAATGGAAGAGCTTTTGCAATCCCTTCTGGGAGAAGGAAGAGGCTGAAGCAGGCGGGCGCATGCAAAGGGAATGGGACACGAAAACCAGAAGACCCACTTACCATCAGCATCTTGAGATCTGCCCGTTCTGCGGGGTTTTTAATTAAGCTGGAAGAGAAAAAAGGGAGAGACAAGCATGAAAGTGGATATGCTTTGGTTCAATTTGCTACCCCTTCAAGCCCAGGCAGTCTGGGCTCCATCCCGCTTTATGAGGCTCAGCCCCATGCCACCTTAGGGAAATAAAGGCACACCCTTACCATTTATTCACGAACTCTTGAAAGTCCTGCGTGAAAACCCCGGGCGGCAGCTTCGGGGGCGGCTGAAACGAGAGGGAGACGGGACATTCGGACTTAGAAAAGAAGAACAAATGAGACAGGAAGCAGAAGGAAGGCCGGGAAAGACACAAGGCCTGGCAAAGCGATACAAGAAAACCAAGACTGCCCCTCCCACCTATGCGTTCAAATTTTTATCCGCCTTGAATGTTTGAAAGTCCATTCGGACTGCCTACCTCGTTCACAATGTAGTCCAGCAATTCAAAGATGGCCATAGCAGGGCGGCTGTCCATCCCGTGGCCTGCAGCATCAAATGGGATAATTTATTTATTATTTATTTACAGTTTTTATATTCCGCCCTTCTCACCCCGTAAGGGACTCAGGGCGGATTACAGTATACACATATATGGCAAACATTCAATGCCAGTTTGACAAACAACATATACAGACAATACACAGGCTATTTAACTTTTTTCTGGCCGCCAGGGGAGCTGCTGCTTTCATTGTCTACCAGCAACACCAATGAAGTACTTCCGCATTCCACATTCCCCAGAATCTTTTCTTTATGGCCTCATAAATTAGTTAATTTAGCCTCCCACACAAGGTGGTACCTTATTTTCCTACTTGACAGATGCAACTGTCTTTCGGGTTGCAAAGGTCGACAACAGGCTACACAATGGCTGGACACCCACTCCAACCCGAGCTGGCTTCGAACTCATGACCTTTTGGTCAGAGTGATCTTAATGCAGCTGACACTCAGCCAGCTGCGCCACAATCCCGGTGCAAGAGGGATAAGAGGGACCGTGAGAAGGAGTGCTCTTGCAACATGATACATATTAATGCAAATTTAAAAAATATTATTAATAATAATAACAAAACACAATATGAGGATTTAAAGATCGAATTGCAAAGACTCTGGCACAAGCCAGTAAAAGTGGTTCCAGTGGTGATCGGCACACTGAGTACAACAAAGCTCCTTGAGATGGAAGATGGAGCTACAGCACCTCTCCATGGCCGGAGTCGAGCACAGCCTCCAGATGCTGGAGATGGAAAAGATGGGAAAGCCTTTGCCTCTGTTTATGTACTGTCTGTCCTTGATAATTGTATAACGGCATTGAATGTTTGTCGTATATATGTGTTCTGTAATCCACCCTGAGCCCCCTTGGGGAGACAGGGCGAAATATAAATAAAGTATATTATTTTTAAAGTAATAATAGTTAAAGAGACAACAGGGAGCACAAGAAGCAGTGGGCTTACCACATGTTAAAATTAATCTAATATGTGAAAATATTATTAATAGTAACAAAGTAATAATAATAGTAATAATTAAGGGGGCAGCAGGGAGCACGAGAAGCAGTGTGCTTACAACACATTAGGATGATTTAAAATGTGTAAATAATAAAGAGCAATAAATAATAATAATAATAATGAAAGGGACAACAGGGAGCGTGAGAAGCAGTGCGCTTACAGTACTTTGAACATAATCTAAAATTTGATAATAACAATAACATTAGTAATAAATTATAATAACAACAACAGTGAACATAATCTAAAATTTGAAAATAATAATATTCAAATCAAATTAAATCAATAATATTAGTAATAAATAATAATAATAGGAATAATAGTAATAGGAAGTAGTACACTTACAACAAGTTCTTATTAATAACTAGCTGTGTCCGCCATGCGTTGCTGTGGCCAACCTTCCCTCCCTCTTTCTCTCCCTCCTTTGCTTCCTCTTTCCTTCCTTCCCTCTTTTTCTTTCCCTTCTTCTTTCTTCCTTCTGTACCTGTTTCTTTTCTCGCTTCCTTTGCTCTTTGGTTCCATCCTTCCTTGTTTCTTTCCTTCCTTCCTTCCCTCCCTTCCTCCCTCTCTCTCTTTCATTCCTTCTCTCCTTCCTTCCCTCTTTCATGTATTTCATTCCCTCCCTCCTTCTCTACCCTTCTTTATTTCCTTTCTTCTTCCCCCCTTCTCTCCTTCCTTCCTTCTCTACCCTTCTTTCTTTTCTTCTTTATCTCCTTCCCTCTTTCTCTCCCTCCTTTTCTCCTTCCTTCCTTCTCTACCCTTCTCTCCTTCCTTCCTTCCTCCCTCCTTTCTGTTATGTGTGTTTGTGTGTGTATATGCATATATGTGTGTATATATATATATATGTGGTTTTGCACGTACGTTGTAATGTATTTCTTTTTTCTTTTTAAGTCCCTTCTGCTGTGTTTTTCAGTGTTTTTATGAGTGATGGTCACTCGTTGGCCTGAGAGGTGCATTGTGTCCAAATTTAGTGTCAATTCATCCAGTGGTTTTTGAGTTATGTTAATCCCACAAACGAATATTACATTTTTATTTATATAGATAACAGTAATAATAATAGTAATAGTAAAAGGGACAACACAGAGCCTGAAAGGCAGTGTGCTTACAACACATTACAATATAATCTAAAGTGTGAAAATAATAATAAAAAATAATAATACGGTAATAATAAATGATGTCACAGGATAGCACTGAAACCTATCTCCTTGCTCCAGCTCTCCAAGGAGAGAGTTGTAAGCCTGAGAGCAGCCATGAGGAAGGGCTCCTGGAACTTAGCAACCGACATCCCCACCCAGAGTCGCCTACCGCTGATGGGACGCCCAGGGGGGCGGGGCCGGGGCGAGATGCTGTGGTATTCTGCTTCGGCCCCGTCGAGCACAGGCCGCCCAAAGATGACCTCCAGCTCCTTGCCATCTGGCGGAGGGATGGGGTACCTCCCGATGGAGAGCTCCACCAGGGAGAGGCCCATGCTCCAGATGTCCGACTGGACCGAGTAGTGAGTGCCTTGGAGGCGCTCAGGCTGCGGGGGGCAAAAACAGGAGAGTTAATACAAACAAAATGTCTTGTTGAACACTTTTGTGGCTGGAATCACTGGACAGTTGTGCTGTTTCCAAGCTGTATGGTCAATGTGTTCTCCTTTTTTGTTTGCATCTTCAGAGGACCTCATGGTGGTCAAGCATGTGGAGTCTATAATATACCTTTGGAATAATGTCCAGGGTGGAAGAGAGAACCACTTGCTATTAACCAAGTCTAAAGGGTGCAATGAGCAAGCCTGATTTGCAAGCGTTTAAGTGGGATCCCTACATTAGCATGTGAGTAACTGAGAATATTGCATAGTCCATAGTGAGGAGGACATCTGCCTGGAAGTAGCCAGGCCTTTGTTCCCTTGGAGTGTTTACTGCCTAGAGACATCCTTGGCCTGGATGGTCCTCACTAGCCCTTTATTGTTTGCTGCCATGAGAGGACATAATAATAATAATAATAATAATAATAATAATAATAATAATAATAAGAAGAAGAAGAAGAAGAAGAAGAAGAAGAAGAAGAAGAAGAAGAAAGCAGAATTGACAAAAGCAACTGGAAAAGGTGACCCAATATGAGGATTGCAAGATAGAACTGCAAAGACTCTGGCCCAAGCCAGTCAAGGGGGTTCCAGTGGTGATCGGCACACTTGGTACAGTGCCTAAAGAACTTGGCCTGCAGTTAAAAACTATCAGCGCTGACAAAATTACCACCTGTCAGCTGCAAAAGGCTACCCTACTCGGATCTGCACACATTATTTGCCAATACATCCCATGGTCCTAGACACTTGGGAAGTGTGCAACGTGTGATCAAATACGTCATCGTGATTTTGTTTTTTTGTGAACTAATCTTGTTATGTATCTAATAATAATGATGATAATGATAATGATGTAGCCTGGTCTTTGTTCCCTTGGAGTGTTTATTGCCTAGAGGCATCTCTAGTCTGGGTTGTCCTCACTAGCCATAAACACTCCAAGGGAACAAAGGCTAGGCTATTATTATTATTGTTGTTATTATTATTACTACTAGCTTGGGGACCCGGCATTGTTTGTTTTGGAATGTTAGGTAATATCACTTAAGTTTGGTCTGTCGTTTGCTAGATTCAGTGCTCTCTGGATAAGGGTGAACTACAACTCCCAGATTTCCAGGGCAGTCAGTCATGTTAGGTCTGTCTGCCAAGTTTGGTCCAGATCCGTTGTCGGCTGAACCCCCTTGGGCATTCATTTTGCACCTTATCTTTCTTCTTTGGAGTATGCGTTTGGGGGTGATCTTGATATCCATCATGGATCGAATTAACCTGTGGTCTATCCAGCAGTCATCAGCACTTGTCATGGCTCTGTGAGAAGCACGTTGTGGTCTCTGTGCAATTACATAGTCTAAGAGGTGCTAATGCTTTGACCGGGGGTGCTTCCATGAGGTCTTGAGATTGTTTTTCTGGCAGAAGAGTGTGTTGGTGATGACAAGGTTGTGTTCCGCACATTTGGTGAGAAGCAGGATGCCATTCGAGTTGCTGTTTCCAGCCCTGTCTTTTGCTATAGGATAGTGTCCATCTAGTGTTGGTGCATAGGAACTTATGATGGTTGCCTGTTGGTTTTTGGCAAGGTTAATTCGGAGGGTTGAAAGTTGTCCGTTAATGCCAATGGGTGCTTTGGTCAGGTGCTTCATCAGGTCATTTCTGATAGCAAAGCCAACTCCGTGTATTCTTTGTTCTTCTCCAGGCAGTCTCTCTTTTTTCTTCCTTCAGCTGTCCTTCGGCTCTCAGAGCCTCCTGAAGTGCTGCTATGTCCATGTTAAAGTCCTCCAGCTGCCTTGCAATAGCAGTCATGCATTCGGGGGGTTCACTGTCAGTGTTGTCCAACAGTGTCCGTACGATCCATGTTCCAAAGGTTTTTTTTTCTTATTTTGGCTGCAGGATGGTGACCCCTCTGGATGCGGCAGTCCAGTCAGGGATAAGAGAGGCAGACTATGTTTAGGGCACCTTTTCTAGCCCCTTCCCCATGTGGGATGAGCAGAGTGGATCCTAAAAAGGGCTGCTCAGTCATGGATACAGCTGCTGGACTACTCAACTGCCTCGGACCTTGAGGTAGAACAACTGAGTCCATATTGACCGCCCACGTGACAATCTGTGACTAAGGGCTTCCAGATTTCACAGTCCTGACCCCATCACCACTCGCTGATTGCCATGGAACTTTAGTTGGTTTTTATTTTTCTTGGAAGACGCGTGTGCATGAGTTTTTTTTAATGTGTGGAGGTGGGTGCACAGGCCATCAACACACAGTCTTCACAGAGTGAGGTCCAACCAGTGGAATGGTTAACACAATGATGGTAGCTTCTCAATCTCTTGCAGTTTTCTTCCGCCTTAACAGGCGTTGTAATATGTACCATATTATCCTCCACCTGCTGTGCCGTTGAGGTCTTTGGGTCTTCGGATTGTTCTTGGTCTGGATCCTACCCTGTGGCCTCTCCTGGGAGTGCATGACCCTGGTGGTTACGCCCGCAGGTTCACTGGAACACGCAAGCTCCCTTACCATGACAAGGTGCTAATCCATCAAGTGGGGTATAAATATTAATAACTAGCTTGGGTCCCTGGTGTTGCCCAGGTTATTTGAAAAAGTCAATTTTGTAATTATACAAAATGCAAAAGGTTGTGGGTGAACTACAACTCACATTATGTCAGGTTAAGCCCCTGAAACTCCATCAGTACTTAAAGTTTGTTATGTTGGGCAAGTTTGCTCTAGATGCAACATCGGTGGGGTTCAGTTGCTCTCTGGCTGTAGGGTAAACTACAACTCCCACTATGGTGAGTCAGTCCCCTCAAACCCCTCCAGTAGGTTGAGTTAGTCATGGGGGTTCTGTGTGCCAAGTCTGGTCTAGGTCCATCATCGGTGGAGGTCACAGTTTCCCTGGTTGTGGGTGAAGTACAACTCCTAGAAAGGAAGGTCAGTTCCCCCAAACTCCTCCAGTAATCAAATTTCGGCATGTCAGGTACATGTACCAAATTTGGTCCAAATCCTTCGGTGTTTAGGTTCACAGTGCTCTCTGGATGCAGGTGAACTACAACTCCCCCAAATCAAGGGGAATTTCCCCCAAAGAGCTCCAGTATTTTTTATGGGTCATTATCTATAAACATACACATAATAAAAGTGAAAATATGTCACTTTTATTATGTGTATGTTTATAGATAATAATAATAATAATAATAATAATAATAATAATAATAATTGTATATGTCAACTGCTGTATGAATATAATAATAATAATAATAATAATAATAATAATAATAATAATAAACTACTGCTTTTATGTTAAGCCACTTTTGAGTCCCTTTTGGGGAATTAAAGTGGGGTATAAATAAATACAGTAATAGTAATAATAATATTAATAATAATGATGTAAAATATAATAATATAATACTAATAAAAATAATATATAATAATAATATTTTAAATTGTACGCTAATGCTTTTAAGTCACTTTGAGTCCCCTTTGGGCATATAAAACAGGCTATAAATAAATACAATAATAGTAGTAATAATAATAATAATCTGAAACTGTTGGAAATTTGTTTTGGAAAGTTGAATTTGAAACCTCAAGCTTTCAATGAAGCAGCCTTTGTTTTAAAATGCAGAGCACTGATGCCACCCTTATCTCATGTCATGTTATATGTGCTGTCCTCGGGTCGATAGGTCAAGGGACGACACACTTCCGATTCGCAATGTACTAATAGTAATAATACCAATAATACTTTTATTTGTTACGTTTTGAAAGTTACCCCCCCCCCCAAAAAAAAAGCAGAGGAACTCACAGACATATAGGAACGCGTGCCCACAAAGGAATTTGCCATGGAGTCAATGAGCTGGCCGCTGACCCCGAAATCACAGAGCTTAATCTCCCCCCGAGAATTCACTAAGATATTCGAAGGCTTCACATCTGCAAATGGGTTCAAATACAATTAAAAGAGAGAGAGGAAGGAATGGTAAAAGCAATACTAGAGTTAGCACTTCGGAGCAAGAGCAGACCCATACTTATAAGCCAGACTGTCAACAATGTGGGTGTCATGATAAAATATGCCGTATAGTTTGAGTGAGATTGTATGAAAGGCGTACGGATGCGGCCTAATTGGGCTGAAGATACCATTCTAAGGAATGAGGCCTGGAAACCTACAAGAAACAGGTGAAGAACTCATGGACTGTAATTAAAAATTGCTGATGAGACTTGAAACAAATGATTAACTGTTGACATTGATGACTTGATGAACTCTTGGTGGAAAAACAACTTGTTTACATTGCCAAAGACAATGGTTCTTTTAAGTAAGGAAGTCAACACTGTGGCTTCTTACAGAAATGTTTACAAGGCTCCTTGATAAGGAAAGTCAATTAAACAAAATCAACATCTGTCCAGGAACTGATGGAATCTGTCTGTCAGTAATTTACAACTTTCAGAACCACATCAACAAAAAATACTACACAAAAGGACCCTTCTCTCTCAGAAAGAGTGTGTCAGACCAACTGAACACCATTTCTGAACACCATTATGAACAGCCGCCTCCTCTCAAGAAGCTGATCATCTTCAACAAGAATGGTAAGAATGCTTGATGAATGATGAATAAATGATTGAATGTTAGAGTATATGTGTAAATGTTGATGCAATATCCCCCTTTGTCCATGAAACCAATATAATTATTATAAAACCCAGTACTGGAGTCTGTGTCCACTTCTTTCTCTGAAAGTGCCTGATGCAACCTGTTTCACTAAAAGCAGAATAAAAAAACCTATTTAATGTTTTTTAAAAGTACTTATGACATGGGCTCTCTTGGCACAGAATCCATACTCTGTTCCTGTTCTCACCTCTGTGCATGATCTGGTGCTTCTCTCGCAAGTAGGCCAGGCCTCGCAGAACCTAGGGCAGAAAAGGGGCATTTGGTTAATGAACTACAATTCCCAGAATTGTGGACCAATCCTCCCCAAACCCCACCAGTATTTGAAGTTGGCCACATTGGTTCTATGTGTCATGCTTGGTCCAAATCCATTGCCAGCTGGGTTCAGTGCCCTCTGGATGTATGTACTACAACTCCCATAATGCAAGGTCAATCTCCCACCCCCAACTCCTCTAGTATATTCAGTGGGCCAAGTTTGGTCCCAGTCCATTGTCAGTGGTGGTCTGTTTCTCTGGATGCAGGTGAACTACAACTCCCAGAAAACACAATCACCCCCCCCCCCAAAAAAAAACAACCTTTCTAGTACTTCCAGTTGATCTAGTATGTTCAGTTGCTGAGAAATTCCTGTTTGCTGTGTGCCATAGAAAATAGGGAAGAGTTAAGGGAGAGGCACTGGGAGGGATCATGTAAATTCCACACCTATGGAGAGAGTAAGAAACACTGGGATGTCTGTGGTGGAGGAAAAACAGAAAATCTAGGATGAAATTGTCCCCAAATGAAAGCCTTCACTTGAGTGGTGGGTAGTATGGTGTTTGTGGAGGACATTGGCAGGGCTCTTGGACATGTTCATTGGGCTCACTATAATCTGCAGCTTCATTGGAGGGAGGGCCATTGGCATCTCCTGAGTAGTGGGAGCTATAGCTGTTTGTAGAGGCAGGAGCCTGTCTGTGTGAGTGGACACCCCAGCCACAAACACATACATATTTTCACTTTTATTATGTGTATAGAAGATAGATTGCAAAGGCTCACAACAGACCCGAACAAAACCCAACAGCTGGACTCACTGCAATGCTGACTTTCCCCAGGATTTCTTCAGGGATCCTCTTGGCTTCCTTCAGGACTTGATCGAGGGAGCCTCCATCCTAAAAGCAGAGGAGACATTTGGTAAGAAGAGCGAGCCCTTCTTCTTTAACCAGACCCGGCTGACTACAACAGAAGCTTTGATGGGATCTATATGCCCAACAAGTGCAGGCCTCTGAGTCCCAGAAATCGCCATTGCCATCTTGCTCAATGGCCAGGGATGCTGAGAACTGGAGTCCAAAACAGGTTGGAGAGGCTTGAAATAGGCATTCATTGTGACTAAGCAGAGAAAGCAATGCTGGAATAATAGAGGGTCTTGGGAGGAAAATCCAACTCCCACCCAGAACAAATCCCACATTGTGCAACATAACATTTCAGATTCTCTACTCCCTGTTGTCTCAGATAATGTCTGACGTTATGCTTAGTTTAGATGCCTTATTGTCGAGACAAAGACTTTCATCACTGTATGGTAACATCAAGTCACCAGATGGCAGCATCTCTCTATCGAGGGGGGAAGTATTCTTTTTGCTGCCAGATCCTCCTCTAGATATAGCTTCGATTACACAATGTCACACGATTTTTGTTCCTGGGTCAATGTAATTTCCTAATTGGTTCTATCATAAAAACATCGGGAAAGTTTATTAAAGAGCAAACACTCTGTCTTTGCAGGGGGGACCTCATGCAGCACATTTTGCTATAGTTTCTCTATGATTATCTGATCAGAATCTCAACTAATTGAACCTAGCTTTTAGCGTCCAGAAAAACAAAGTCTCTGGAGTATAGCAATTACTTTCAAAGTAAGGACGGCACAATTAAACAGGAAATAACACTTTCAGACCAAGTACACTGTTCAAATTTTGTTACAAAATGTTATTCTCAAGACGCTAACAACAACAGGGGCCCTCTTTTAATACACTGTGCATTCTACTATCTATATAAGTAAAAATGTAATGTTCGTTTGTGGGATTAACAGAACTCAAAAACCACTGGACGAACTGACATCAAATTTGGCAGCAAAACACGGTCTAATCCAATCTATGTCTTTCAAACAAAAAAACTGTAAAAAAAATTGAAGGGGAAATAACTTAAAACTCCCCAAAAAGAAAAATGCCTTACAGAGCATATGCAAAAGCCCCTCTCCCCATTGCACGAGAAGAATGAATCACCAACCATTGTGAGGGAAGAGAAGTCTCGCCATGGAGTCCCTTTCCATGCAAGAAGGCAGAGTCCTTTTTCTTTTGGGGAGGGGAGGGATTGAGTAAAGGAAAGAGGGAAGGAAGGAAAAGGCCTGGCCCAAGGGAGGGGAGGGGGCTTGGCGAGGCAAGCCCTGGCAGCAGCTGGAGCCACCACAGCAGCTCCATGAGGACCACGTGGCTACCAGGCAACTCTTCCCCCAAGACCAGAGGATTGCAAGGCAAGCCTGACTGCAGGAGAGAGGCTGCACCCCCCCCCCCCCCCTTGGGTGAAGGGAGGATGCAAACCATGAGAAGACCAGCAACTCTCACACTTGGGCTCCACATCCCCCTCTTTCACCCCCCCCCCCCCCTTAAGAGAAGAGAAGAGAAGAGAAGAGAAGAGAAGAGAAGAGAAGAGAAGAGAAGAGAAGATTATGAATGGAAGGAAAGGTAGAAGGAAAGAAAGAGGAAGGAAGGGAAAGGAGGCAGGGATGGGAGAGGAAAGGAAGGGAAGAGGAAGGGAAGGAACAAAGAAAGAAAGGGGGAAACTGGTGAAGGGAAGAGAAGGATATAGAATCAGAGAGTCCTAGAGTTGGGAGACATCTGGTGGGCCATCCAGGCCAACCCCATTCTGTGAAGAAGCAGGAAAATCACATTCAAAGCACCCCCAACAGATGGCCACCCAGCCTCTGTTTCAAAGAGGCTTTTTGGAGTGTTTTGGCCAGCATGAATATAACTGAAAAGCCTTGCAGCTTCAGTGGCTGCTTCTCATTACTTTATTTTCCATACCACCTTGCACCTTAACAGCCTGGCTTCTACTAGCCAGCAGGAAACCTTTGGTGGGAGGAGTTCCCTAGCCCAGATTGCTTCATGTCTGCAAATCCTCTGTTTTCTGAGGGCCACAGCAACGCGTGGCCGGGTACAGCTAGTTACTAATAATTTGCATATTGCGAGTTGTTTGAATACTGCAAGTGTTTAACATTTACACAAATGACTAGCCACTGTCAGAAGGGAAAGAGAGTTTCATCTATGCTGACAATTGTGCCATCACTGCTCAAGCAGGAAGCCTTGAAATGGCTGAACAGAAGATCTCCGAAGCTTAAGGTGCTCTTACTGTCTATTACTTGGAAAAACCAGCTGATTCCTAATCCATCTAAAATGCAGACGTTTGCTTTTCACCTTAAGATCAGACAAGTATATCGAGCTCTGAGGATTATCTGGGAAGGAATCCCACTGGAGCATTGCAGCACATCAAAATACCTGGGAGTTTCTCTGGACTATGCTGTGACTTAAAAGAAGCACTGCTTGACTATCAAGCAAAAAGTGGGTGCTAGAAATAACATCATACGAAAGCTGACTGGCACAACCTGAAGATCACAACCAGACACAGTGAAGACATCTGTCCTTGCTCTTTGCTACTCTGCTGCTGAGTACACATGCTCAGTGTGGAACACATCTCACCACATTAAAACAGTGGATGCGGCTCTTAATGAAACATGCCACATTTTATCACAGGATGTCTATGACAAACACCATAGGGGAAACTATACTGTTTAGCTGGTATTGCACCACCTGACATCCATCGGGAAGCAGCAGCCAGCAATGAAATGACCAAGGTAGTGACATCTCCAGCCCATCCTCTATTCAGATATCAGCCAGCATGCCAATACATTAAATCAAGAAATAGCATCCTAAGATCTACAGAAATACTCGCAGGAACACCTCAACAAGTGAGAGGCCCAAAGTGGCAGACTCAAACCTGGAAACTCAATCAGCGGTTGAGACCGATGAGGCACTCCCTCCTAGGCACACAAAAGACTGGGCCACTTGGAAGGCGCTGAAAAGGCTGCACTCTGGCACCACGTGATGCAGAGCCAACCTTAAGAAATGGGACTGCAAAGTAGAGTCTGTGACATGCAACTGTGGAGAAGAACAAACCACAGACCACCTACTACAATGCAGTCTGAATAATAATAATAATAATAATAATAATAATAATAATAATACTTTATTTGTATCCCATCCCATGTCCCCACCAGGGACTTGGAACAGTTCACAGCAAAAATGGCAGCCATTCGATGCCAGAAGTACACAATAAATAAAACAAATAATACAATACACATTACATATGTATCCCAGACATCATTGCATGTCCTGGGCATTCAGAAAAGTTACAGTCCCAAACTATTGTCCACTTTCACCTAATCACCTGGGACCTGAAGACGTTGTAACAAGCATATTCTAAGTCTGGACCGGGGGCCAATTGCCACTGGCCAACAGCCTCTGTCATAAAATTTTATAATATGCATCCCGTGTATGGTTTTTTTTTTTTTTACAACTGACAATCAAATTAGGTCTTGCAAAACCAACAAATTAATCTTAAAATCAAATTTTGTCCAGTAACCCCCTTTTCCATTTTGTATCTTTGATCAGAGTCTAAAATTTGAAACAATGAAAAACATGGCATTTTTTTTTGTTTTTGATAAACGATTCAAAATCAAATTACATATTTTCATTTTTTTATTTTGGATGGTCAATTGAAAAATGAAAGAATGAGTGATACACGGATTCGTATGGCCCTCAATGTTTTGTACTTCTGAATAAGATAAACTATTAGTGTTATTTCCCTGTTCACTTTTTGAATTTAGAAGTTTACAGTGAGCATTGAACAGTGAATGATACGGAATGTTTCAAATGAACAGAGATATGTTTAATCTCCCCAAAAGGTTTTTTCCCTCCAGACAAGACTTCTTCTTTGTTCTATGTAGTCTTCAAATATGAAAGTCAGAGCGATTTTGGTAAAAACTTGTTTAGATTTATTTGTGTTGTGTGTGAAGAATAGAAAAGTATGCCATTTGCAATAAATGGTTCATTTGCATGTAATGTTAATGATTCAAAGGATGCCATTTTCATCTCACGAAATCTGGCCCTCTTTGCAAAAAATTTGGACACTCCTGTGTTATAATTTTGGGAAGCAGAAGAGGGAATGTGGCCTCACCATGTGCTCCATACAGATGCTGATCTCCCCATCGCTGTAGAAAGCGCCATAGAAGCCCACGATGTATGGGGAGTTGCATTCATGAAGCACCTGGAGCTCGCGGATGATCTGGTTCCGGATGGCAGGCTTGATCTCCAAGTGAATCAACTTCAAGAAAAGAAGGAGAGAAACGCAACAGTGAGGAACAAGCCCAAGAACCCTTTAACTGTTGCTTCCCAAGGGCACCAAACAGAACGCAATCAATGAAAAAAAGCTTCAATACTGTTACAAAATTAGGGAGGGGGGGGATCGTTTCTAAAGTGTTTCCGAAACTGGACAGGGTCCATATCGTAACTATAACAAGTTAAATACTTTTTCTTTAAGGAATTGTGCCAATGGGGAAACTTCAGAGGCTCCTTTCTCCCTTGTTGTTTGTATTTATAAAACTTACAAATTAGATACAACTTACGACTTAAAAATGAAGATTTGCATACCCTTCAAAGCTATAAGAACCCTATGCCTCCAATAGAATTTATTCCCGAAAGATTGTCCCTGTCAGCAAGACTACATCTTTTTATGCAATCGGTCAAGAACAGCACAGCGTCAATAAGGGTCTGATCACTGCAGGGGTCGAGCCAGAGCATTTTGGGGGCCCCGCCCTCACCTTCCGTGCCATGATTAGCCCTGAAGGTTTGTGCTGTACTTTGGTGACCACCCCGCCGTTGCCGGCTCCCAGCTCTGAAATCCTCTCAAAGTCGTCATCTTTCAGCTCTCCAACTTTGGCCTTCTGTGTGAGGAAGGCCTCCAGCCGCTTCTTCTGCTGCTCGTCCAGCTCCAGCTCTTCCAGCTTCTTCTGGAGGTCAACAAGATGAGCTCTGAGGAAGGAGAAGAGGGAGAACAATTGGGGTCCCATGAATCCCCTCTCTATACGCCAGGCATGGGCAAACTTCAGCCCTCCCTCCAGGTGTTTTGGACTGCAACTCCGACGACGTGTGTATGCAAATGATCCCTTGATTGGCTTAAGTGCCCGGTTCAAAGAGGACAAAGGCATGGGCCAACTTTGTCCCTCCCTCCAGGTGTTTTGGATTCCAACTCTCACAATTCCTAACAGCTGGTAGGCTGTTTGGAATTGTGGGAGTTGAAGTCCAAAACACCTAGAAGGGGGGTGTGTGAAATTTGCTCATGCCTGCAAAATGGTTGAAAATGTGACTATTCACTAGCTATAGACTTCAGCCAGTGTGCTGGCAAATGCATCATCAAGAGAAACCACTTGAGGTTGCCATGGATCCCTAAAATCCCGGTGCTGAAAATATCCAAGGGATAGGAAGCTATTTCCAGCCCTAAAATGAGACACTTTCAGCCAATTTTAATGACATTTTAGCAGGGTGGGCCAAAGGAGGGTGTTGTTATTCAGGAAAGCCGATGTACATGTCGCTTTTCCTAAGAATCAACTCTCTCTGAACAATACATCCAAGCCTCAAGCTTCCTAAATTGAGGACTTCATGCCTTCTTTTCCATTCCTGGGACAAGAGAGCTAGCATGGCATAATATTAATATTCTTCATCACTAGGATACTACATCTTGTTGATGGGAAGCTTCCCACCAGAGTGGAAATCATCTACCAGACAGATGGCAAACTATTTAACCTCAGCAGACTGAAAGCCAAACCAAGGTCACAACAACATATGTTATAGAATCCAATATGCCGATGACAACGTAGTCTGTGCGCATTCAGGTGACCTACAAGCCCCTCTAAACACTTTGCAGAAGCATACGAGAAGCTCAGCCTCTCGCTGAACATTGAGAAAACCAAAGTGCTCTTCCAGCAGTCACCAGCCAATCCCTCTGCAATGCCAGATATACAGCTTAATTGTGTGACATTAAAAATGTTGACCATTTCAGCTACCTTGGCTGCCACCTCTTCACAAAAGTCAACATTGACACTGAAATACAACATCACCTGAGCTCTGCGAGTGAAGCATTTTCCCCAAATGAAGCAGAGACCAAGGCTTGTTTACAGTTATTGTCCTCCCAACCCTGCAATAGGCCTGCAAAACATGGACTGTCACCAGGCGTCACACTCAAGTCCTGGAATGATTCCATCCTGCAAATCTCTTTGGAAAACAGGCGGACAAATGTCAGCGTGTTGGAAGAAGAAGCGAAGACCACCAGCATTGAAGCAATGCGCCTACGCCATCAACTTCACTGGACTGAAGGCCACGTTGTTCGAATGCCTAAAGATCACCCTCTCTCTAACAGTTACTCTACTCCCAACTCAAAAACGGAAAACAGAATGTTGGTGGGCAGGAAAAGAGAATGAAATATGGGCTTAAAGTCAACCTTAAAAACTGTGGCATAGACATCGAGAGGGAACTGGAAAGCCCTGGCCCTTGAGTGCTCTAGCTGGAGGTCAGCTGTGACCAGCAGTGCTGCGGAATTTGAAGAGGCACGAATGGAGGGCAAAAGGGAGAAACATGCCACGAGAAAGGAGGCACATCAAGCCAACCCTGAGCAGGACCACCTTCCACTTGGAAACCGATGCTCTCAATGTGGAAGAACATGCGGGTGAAGAATTGGGCTCTACAGTCATCTACGCATCCACTGACAAGACACGACACTTGGAAGGCCATCATACTCAGACAACAAGGGATCGCCTAAGAGAATAACAATAACTTTATTGTCATTGTACACTGTACAACGAAATTAGCTTTCCCCAGCACACATCACAAAACAACACACCCATCCGTCCACACAGCCCCCAATGCCACATCAATGCAAAGCCATGGAGTTCAATATAGTTCCAGCTCTAGGATAAAAGCTGACTCTCAGTCTGTATGTCCTTGCCTTTGTTGCCCTGTACCGTCTGTCAGATGGTAGAGATAGAGGCATCCAGATACAGGCATCCGACTGGAAGCCAGGGTTTCAAATCCCTACCATGGAAATCCACTGGGTGATCTTGGGCAAGTTACACCCTCTCGGCCCCAAAGCCAAGAGATCAACCGCTCTCCGAGCAAATCTCTCCAAGAAAACCTTGCTATTGGGTTGACATAAGAAAGGAACAATACAGTGACACACAACCAAGGATCCCTTGTAAAAGTCTTGTGCAGGCCTATAACCGAAATCTGCCTGCTTCGCATAATTTGGGGCTTAGAAGCGTTTCCTAATGCCAGCTCATTTGCCAGACAAGTAATGGCAATGGGTCCTTGGAATCGGCCTGAGCAGCGAGCTGGAAGCCAAACCCAGCTTCCCAGGACCGGGTCCCAAAACACCACTCTGCAAAATGAATGAACGAATCAAAGTGATACTCTGCCTCTCCACGACGTGACAGTGCCAATTGGCTGTAGCAGCAAGTCAACAGTCTATTGTGATATAAGAAACCCTTATCATCACGTCCATGTCCCTTCCATTCCAAAGCCTGTATCTACCCATTTAAATGCCTCTCCTGGGCCCCTCTTCTCCGCCTTTCTGCACCAAGCTTCACTGTGTCTCATAGACAAAGGTATTCTCTCATTCTGATTCTCCCATAATCAGCCTCCCATCCATTCCATCTGCTTCCCGAGACTCCCTAGTTTATCCATGCAAGGAATTCCCTCTGATCCCCTCCAAAGACCCCCCCCCCCCTCATTCTCTTTCAGCTGCCTTCTTCCCCCAGACGCTACACAACACACTAGGGTTTCTCCATCACACCACAGCTGCCATTATTACTATTAATAACATACATTATTTCAGCCCCATTACTAGCTGCCTAATACTAGCTGCCTAAAACACAGTCGTCTTCCTGATCTGGGGCCTGATGAACTCATTGCTGAACACCAAGGATTAAAAGGGAAAAAAAACAAAGCATCTCAATGGGTCTAGCTAGGACCAGTACAATCAAAATGTTATCTATAATAATAATACTGGCAATACGACTTGCAGCAACACTGGTAACATTGCCTATATAATCAGCAGCAAAGTTGATGAGAGTATGAGCAAAAACACCAGCAAAATGAACAGTAGTACCAGCAATATTAATATGCTAGTAACATTGTTCATATAAGTGATCGTTGTCAGCATATTAACAGAGGAGGCAACATGATCACCAGCAGCAACCTCTGCATTGCCAATATTATTACTAATATCTATGGGGAGAGGTAGGCAATTAACAACAACAACAACAACAACAACATCCTGGAAAGCTGATTATCAATGGCAACACACCAACATTGGTAATATTGGCAGGAATATCAGGAATATCCTCACAAATATGGCCTCCTCATTCGCCCACTCTCTCCTTCTTTAAAAAATACATTTCCCATTATTATTTCTGATATGATAATGGGGATTATAAGTAGATGGTAATAAATGAAGAACATTATTAGCAGCAACATTTGCAAATGATTAAGAGGATTGTTTCTATGGGCAACTGATCTCATCAGTCTTGGCATAAATAGCAGGAATATGAGGAATATCATTAGGAATGCTCACGGATTATATTAGCAGTACTATTAATAATGTTCACCGATAGTATTAGGAATTATTAGGAATGCCCACAGACATGAGCAATATTATTATTAATGCTATTAAGCGAGGTTACTAAAAATTTTCAGATACACATTAGTGCAGGTTGAGCATCCTTTATTCAAAAATCACTCAAAATCTGAGAGTGATCCTGACACAAAATTTAAACATGGTGCGTATCATGCATAATTGCAAAGGTTATACTCATCACCCATTAATAATAATAATAATAATAATAATAATAATAATGAAAATACAGTTTGAGACCTGGATGTAGACTCGAGTCCCATTGTCAATTTCAAAGTATATTACTATTATTATTATTATTATTATTATTATTATTATTATTATGCAAATACAGGTTTAAGACCCAAGTGTAGACTCGGGTTCCATCGCCCATTACAAATAAACATCATAACGATGACAATTATTATTATGCAAATACAGGCTTGAGACCCAAGTGCAGATTTGGGTTCCAGTGCCCATTTCTATCATCATCATCATCATCATCATTCAAATATGGGCTCACGTGTAGACTTTGGTCTCATCGCCCATCACAAATAAATATTATTTATTATGCTAATGCAAATATAGGCACAGACTTAGGTCCCATTGCCCATTACAAATTATTGTTATTATTATGCAGATACAGGTGCAAGACCCAAGTGTAGACTTGGGTCCCATCTCCTATTACAAATAAATGTTATTATTATAGTTATGCAAATACAGACTTGAGTCCCATCACCCATTACAAATTATTATTATTATTATTATGCAAGTACAGACTTGAGACCCGAGAACAGATTTGGGTCCCACTGTCCGTTACAAATTATTATTATTATTATTATTATTATTATTAAAATATAGACTCTAACCCAAATGCAGACCTGGGTCCTATCACCCATCACAAATAAATATTAATAATAATATTATTACTATTATTATGCAAATTCAGACTCGAGTCCCATCGCCTATTACAAATTATTATCATTGTATTGTCAAAGGCTTTCATGGCTGGAATCACTGGGTAGTTGTAGGTTCTTCGGGCTATATGGCCATGTTCTAGAAGCATTCTTCCCTGATGTTTCGCCTGCATCTATGGCAAGCATCCTCAGAGGTTCTGAGGACCTCACAACCTCTGAGGATGCTTGCCATAGATGCAGGCAAAATGTCAGGAGTGAATGCTTCTAGAACTTGGCCATATAGCCCAAAAAACCTACAACAACCCTATTATTATCATTATTATTAGTATGCAAATATAGTCTCAAGACCCATGTGTAGACTTGGGTCCCATTGCTTATTACAAATTACTAGCACTATTTATTATTATTATTGTGCAAATATAGGCTCAGGACACAAGTATAGGGTCCAATGAAAAATAAATATTAATTATTATTATGCAAATGCAGGCTCAACTCTCATCATCCATTGTAAATAATAATAATCATTATTATTATGCAAACAAAGCTGGAGATCCATTGCCCATTACAAATTATTTTTATCATCATTATGCAGATATAGGCTTGAGACCCAAGTGTAGACTTGGGTCCCATTACAAATTATTATCAATATTATTATTATGCAAATACTGGCTCAACACTCAAATGTAGACTTGGGTCCTATCGCCCATCACAAATAAAGATTAATACTATTATTATGCAAATATAGACTAGAGCCCCAACACCCATTACAAATTATTATTATTATTATTATTATTATTATTATTATTATGCAAATACAGGCTCGAGACCCAAGTGAGACTTAGGTCCCATTGCCCATTACAAATTATTATTATCATTATTATAATTCCTTTATCCGATTTGTCATCGATCCACTCCTTTGGGTTTCACGCAAATCTTCCATTTGTCAAAATATATGATCCTGTACTATTCTTTTCCATTTCTTGACAAATAGCTAAAATTCGGATAATAATTTATTATTAAACTTGGGTCCCATCGCCCATCACAAATAATCACTATTATTAATACTATTATTATGCAAATACAGACTCAAATCCCATCAATCATTTCAAATTATTATTATTATTATCATTATTATTATATAGGCTTGAGACCCAAGCGTAGACTTGGGTTTCATCGCCCATTACAATTATTTTTATTATTATAATGCAAATATAGGCTCAAGACCCAGGTGTAGACTTGGGTCCCATTACCCATTACAATTATTATCATTATTATGCAAATATAATCTCATGACCCAAGTGTGATTTGGGTCCTATCGCCCATTACAAATTATTATTATAGGCTTGAGATCCAAATATAGACTTGGGTCCTATAGCCCATTACAAGTATCATAATCATTCTTATGCAAATATTGACTCTAGACCCTGGTGAAGACTTGGGTCACATTGCCCATTACAAATTATTATCATTATTATTATTTATGTATTATTATTATTCTTATTATTATTATTATTATTATGCAATTATAGGCTCAAGACCCAAGTGTAGACTTGGGTCCCATCACAAATAAATACTATTTATTATACAAATGCAGGCTCAATATCCATCGCCCATTACAAATTATTAATTACATTAATGATAATAATTGTAATGGGCAATGGGGCTCAAGTCTACACTTGAGTCTGGTAACTGTATTTGCATAATAATGATGATAATTTGTAATGGTCGATGGGACTTCAGTCTGTATTTGCATAATAATAACAAGATATTTGTGATGAGCAATAGGACCCAAATTTAAAATTTAGATCTCGAGCCTATAGTTGCATAATATTAGGTGTAGACTTGGGCCCCATCGTCCATTACAATTATGATTATTATCATTATGCAGACACACTATTATCATTCGCCTTGTAATGATGAGGAAGGAGGTTGCTTTAGAGCCCTAGCAACGATAAAAATGGTAAACAGAACACATGTATCCATCTCAAGCCTGGGCCCACTTCGGTCTTCCCTCCAGGGGTTTGGATTACAACTCCCACCATTCCTAACAGCCTGTGAGAAATGGTGGGAGTTGTCGTCCAACCCCCCTGGAAGGAAGGAAGGCCGGCCGAAGTGGGCTCAGGCCTGGTGCACCGGCGCTGGTGTCCCTCACTCGGCTCCGTGGGCGGGCTCCCCTGCGGCGGGCACGGGGGCTCCCTCGGCGATGGTGGGGGTGATGTTGAGGGCCGGCGGGACCAGCTTCCTCTTGGCCGGCATGGCGAAAGACGCTCTCTCGGGAGAGGGTCAATCCTCTTTCTTTCTTTCCTTCCCTGCTCTCCTTTCCTCAGTGAGGGCCCCGCCTCAGTGGCGTGGGCGTCCTCATGGCCCGGATCGAGGCCCCAGACTCGCTCGCCAAAGAGCACCAGCCCCACACGACCGGCCCCTCCGGAGGGAAGCGCGGAGTGAGCGCCCAAGGGGTGTGGCTTTCCAGATCTCCCTCCTCATTGGCTGGAGGGCGCGAGGCCTGCGACGCCATTGGCCAGGAGACTTTTAAGGCCAGGCCACGATTGGCCGGCTTTCTCAGCTTTATCCCGCCTCTAACCCGCCTCAGTTGGATTTCCTCGATTGACTGACGAGAGCTGAGTGCACAACTATTGGCTGTGTCACCTAAACCGAGGCGGCGATTGGCCAGTTTTCTCAGCCTTGTCCCTCCTCTAACCTACCTCCCTTGCCTCCTTAGTTGGATTTCCTCGATTGGCTGTAGAAATGTAGCCGAGGGCGACGCCATTGGATGCACCATCTCAACCAAGGCGGCTATTGGTTAACTTTCTCAAACAAGCCCCACCCACTATTTCAATGCCGTCACCTTTTTCTCTTCTCTGACGCCAACCTTCCGCAGCTCCTGATTGGTTGCGCACGCCTCTTCCTCGCACCACCGCTATTGCTCGAGCCAACTCGCCCCTCTCCTCTTGATCGGATCTCAGTGGGGCGTGAATCCAAAAGAAATAAGGAGTGTAATATCGCGATATTACCCCCCTCATTCTTTTTGTCCTCACTCGGAAAAGTCAGCCTGAGCATCCAGCGGTTGAAATTGCGCATGCGCAGAAAAGGATGCGCGGGGGGTGGTTTAGGGTTAGGGAAAACGTAATCAAAGAGACGGGCAGGAAAGGAGAGAAGGCGACAGGGCAAGATCTCATGTCGTCTTCATACTGAAATAATAATAATCACATTAAAAATTTTATTTTATTTGACAATGATTAGTTGCATACAGATTAAATGCCCAATAATAATAACTACTGCTAATAATAAATAATAATATATAGTAAGTATAATACTACTGGTAATAAATCAAATAATACTAATCTATATATATAAATATGCTCTGTGCATAATGAATACCTTAAAAACAAAAGAACCAATGAACGAAATCACACCAAATTTGGCAACAAAACGTCTCACAACACAAGGAGTAACCATCACTCAAAAATTTATGATTTTGTCATTTGGGAGTTGTAGTTGCTGGGATTTATAGTTCACCTGCAATCCAAGAGCATTCTGAACTCCATCAACCAAACTTCGCACACAGAACTCCCACGATAAACAGAAAATACTGGAAGGGTTTGGTGGGCATTGACCTTGAGTTTGGGAGTTGTAGTTCACCTACATCCAGAGAGCACTGTGGACTCAAACAATTTCTGCTTCCCTGGAGACTAGGGCACGGAACAATGGCTTCAAACTACAAGAAAGGAGATTCCATCTGAACATGAGGAAGAACTTCCTGACTGTGAGAGCCGTTCAGCAGTGGAACTCTCTGCCCCGGAGTGTGGTGGAGGCTCCTTCTTTGGAAGCTTTTAAACAGGCTGGATGGCCATCTGTCAGGGGTGATTTGAATGCAATATTCCTGCTTCTTGGCAGGGGGTTGGACTGGATGGCCCATGAGGTCTCTTCCAACTCTTTGATTCTATGATTCTATGATGGTCTGGACCAAACTTGGCACAAGTACTCAATACGCCCAAATATGAACACAGATGGAGTTTGGGGGAAATAGACCTTGACATTTGGGAGTTGTAGTCACTGGGATTCATAGTTCACCTACACTCAAAGAGCGTTCTGAACCCCACAAACGACAGAATCGGGGCAAACTTCCCACACAGAACCCCCATGACCACAGAAAATACTTAAGGCCATCCAATCCAACTCCCTTCATCAGGGCAAGAAAACGTAATCAAAGTCCTCCTGACAAAGAGCCATCCAGCCATAGAGATAGATAGATGATAGATAGATAGATAGATAGATAGATAGATAGATAGATAGATATAGTTGGTTCAGAATTGGGCAGTATCAGTAGAATTGAACCAAACTTGGCACACAGAACTCCCATGACCAACAGAAAACACTGGAAGGGTTTGGTGGGCATTGACCTTGAATTTGGGAATTGTAGTTCACCTACATCCAGAGAGCACTGTGGACTCAAACAATGATGGATCTGGACCAAACTTGGCACAAATATTCCATATGCCCAAATATCAACACAGATGGAGTTTGCGAGAAATAGACTTTGACATTTGGGAGTTGTAGTTACTGTGATTTATAGTTCACTTACAATCAAAGAGCGTTCTGAACCCCACCAACGACAGAATTGGGGTCTTGACTTCCCAGGTAGAGAAATGCTGCCTTAAGGCCATCCAGTCCAACTCCCTTCACCAGGGCAAGAAAACAATCAAAGCCCTCCTGACAAAGAGCCATCCAGCCATAGATATAGATATATATATACTGCCACACGTTGCTGTGGCCTATAGTAAAACTTATCAAAGTTGAGGTAGATATCTGGATTATTATGAAAGAGAGGTACCTACCTATTCCTTCCCCCTTTTTCCTCCCCCTTTCTCTCCTCTCCTTCCATCCTTCTCTAACCTTTCTTTCCTTCTTTATCTCTTTCACTCCTTCTCCCCTTCCTTCCTTCCTCCCCTTTTCTTCCTTTGCCTTTCTTCCCTCCCTGTTTGCTTCCTTCTTTCTCTTTTTATTTCCTTTTATTTCACCACCATCATAACAATAACAATAATGCAATGCATTGCCTCTGGGACCTGACACCTCTCCCATTCCCCCAGGGTCTAATAGGAATAATAGCATAATAATAATAGAAATAACAATCTTTACCCGCCACACGTTACTGTGGCCAACCTTCCCTCTTTCTCTCCTTCTTTCCTTCCTTCCTTCCTTCTTTCCTTCCCTCCTTCCCTCCCATCTTTCCTTCTCCTCTTCCTTCTCTATCTCTTTCCTTCCTTCCCCTTTTTCTTTCTCTTCTGGTCTCTTTTCTTCCTTCTCTCTTTCCTTCTTTCCTTCCCTCCCTCTTTCTCTACATCTTCCCCCTTCCTTCACTCCCTCTTTCCTTCTTCTTCCTTTTCTTCTCTCCTTCTCCTCCTTCCTTCCTTTCCTTCTTCCTTCCTCCTTCCTTCCTTCCTTCCTTCCCCCCCCCCCCCCTTTCTTTCTCTTCTGGTCCTTTTCTTTCTTCTCTCTTTCCTCCTTTCCTTCCTCCCTCTTTCTCTACATCTTCCCCTTCCTTCACTCCCTCTTTCCTTCCTTCCTTCCCTTTTTTCTTTCCTTTTCTCCTCCTTCCCCCTTTTTCTTTCTCTTCTGCTGTCTCTCTTTTCTTTCCTTCCATCTTTCCTTTTCTTTCCTTTTCTTCTTCCTTTTTTCTCTAACTTTCCTTCCTTCCCCCTTTTTCTTTACCTCCCTTTCTCTTTCTTCCTTCTTTCCTTCCTTCCTGTCTTTCCTGGATTTTGACAGGGCGGGAAGGGGCGGGGTGGGGTTTGGAGGTGGCGTGAAGTAAAAGGAGGTAAAATTGGGGCAGGGGAGTGATGGAGCATGGGGTTGCGTGTGTGTGTGCGGCGGGGGGAGTGATGGAGCGTGGGGTTGCGTGTGTGTGTGCGGCGGCGGGGGGAGTGATGGAGCGTGGGGTTGCATGTGTGTGCGGGGGAGTGAGGGGGCTTGGTGTTGCGTGTGTGTGTGGCGCGGGGGAGTGAGGGGGCTTGGTGTTGCGTGTGTGTGTGGCGCGGGGGAGTGAGGGGGCTTGGTGTTGCGTGTGTGTGTGGCGCGGGGGTGATGGAGCGTGGGTTGCGTGTGTGTGTGCGGCGGCGGGGGGAGTGATGGAGCGTGGGGTTGCGTGTGTGTGTGCGGCGGCGGGGGGAGTGATGGAGCGTGAGGTTGCGTGTGTGTGTGCAGTGGCGGGGGGAGTGGGGTTGCGTGTGTGTGTGCGGCAGCGGGGGAGTGATGGAGCGTGGGGTTGCGTGTGTGTGTGCGGCGGCGGGGGGAGTGGGGTTGCGTGTGTGTGTGCGGGCGGCGGGGGGAGTGGGGTTGCATGTGTGTGCGGCGGGGGGGAGTGATGGAGCGTGGGGTTGCGTGTGTGTGTGCGGCGGCGGGAGGAGTGATGGAGCGTGGGGTTGCGTGTGTGTGTGCGGCGGCAGGGGGAGTGGGGTTGTGTGTGTGTCTGCGGCGGCAGGGGGGAGTGATGGAGCGTTGGGGTTGTGTGTGTGTGCGGCGGCGGGGGAGTGGGGTTGCGTGTGTGTGTGCGGCGGCGGGGGAGTGATGGAGCGTGGGGTTGTGTGTGTGCGTGCGGCAGGGGGTGTGTGTGTGCGGGAAGCGGCGTGGGTTTGGAGGTGGCGTGAAGTAAAAGGAGGTAAGATTGGGGCGGGGGAGTGATGGAGCGTGGGGTTGTGTGTGTGTGTGCGGCGGCGGGGGGAGTGATGGAGCGTGGGGTTGCGTGTGTGTTGCGGCGGCGGGGGGAGTGGGGTTGCGTGTGTGTGTGCGGCGGCGGGGGAGTGATGGAGCGTGGGGTTGCGTGTGTGTGTGCGGCGGCGGGGGGAGTGATGGAGCGTGGGCTTGTGTGTGTGAGTGCGGCACTGGGTGTGTGTGTGCGGGAAGTGGCGCGGCGGGGCTTAGAGTGGGCATGGCTTCCGCAGAGGGAACGTTGGCCGGAAGGCTGTGTGTGCGCGCCAGGGAACTTGCGGCTGCGCGCCAATGCGCATGCTCAGTTGTTTTGCCGTTTTGTGAGTGTCTTGTTGTGTTGTTTTTCATTTTGAGTAGATATGTTTGTACCTTGTGGGTTGTGTTATGGGCATGGGAATTTTGGTTAAGTTTCGTTGGGGTTTTTTTAGAGTTTTGCTGTCCCGTTGGACTCGCCTAACAGATTTATATATATAGATATGACTCTCACACACAGAGATATAGTGTCATAGATTTGAAAGGGACTCCTGAAGAAGGACAATTATATGTTGCATGTTCCAGAGTAGGCAAACCAGACACTCTCCACAGCAACACTGAGAAAGAAACAGCAAGAAATACTGTTTATCCACAAGCATAAAGACATTACATATATTAGAAACCAACACTTTCTCATTACTTTATTTTCCAGATCAACAGACTGGGCCACAGCAACGTGTGGCAGGGGACAGCTAGTAAATATATAAAATGACTAGCTTGG